AATGGCTACATTTACAAGAAAATATTTGGGATAAAATTTGCGTGGTCTGAGGGAGGACAAATAATAATAGAATTAATTTTCAAAAAAATAGATTTTTCGAGACCACATATATAAATCATTGTCATTTAAAAAAATAGAATTATATGATTATCGTTATATAATTGTATTAAAAATTATCTTCATATAATCTTAACAACGATTTTTCGAAAATTGATTTATTTATTCCTCTTCTGGCTGTGCAATTTTTATCTCAAACCTTTTTTTATAAATGTAACCGTGTTTTTATGTTATTCCAATGTATCAATCAAAATGGACTTCCTGTATATTTTAGTTTTCGCAATTCTCTCGTAATTTCTTTGATGACCATTTATTTGAATTTTACAACCATTAACACGAATTCAATTTACAACGTACGCATGCTCTCGTGCGTGAATTTAAACTGTACAATGATTTATTTCGTGTTAAACCTAGAACATAATTGAAAAGTACAGGCAATATAAGAACAAAAAATAATAGATTTCAAAAATCGTGTATTCTGATATACGGTTTCTGATAGGTTTATTACTTTCTATTCCTATTGCCTCTGCTTTTCAATTATGCATTAGACTTTACTCACCTATGAAAATCCATAATGATAACTTCACCTCTCGCTACATCCAGAAAATCTCTTACATCCTTTAAAATCTCTGAAAGAGGTGTGATGCGGATGACGTCATGGTTGACCCAAAATCTATTTATATGATTCCCGTCTTCGTCAAGTGCGGTGCCATTTGGTATTGATGGGTAATATCCAACTCTGATGTCCAGATATCTTATACCGTGCACCAACTGGGTCCAAACATCACGATCTTGTGTCAACAAGTACCGCTGAAAGGCGTCCCGGCGCGTTAGATCACCGTGTTTATAACAACCAGAATTATGTGTCCCAGGTATCATCAGACTGCCGATAGGAAGCATGCCGATTTCCCTCCTTTAACAATACAGAAAACATTATTTGTGTGTGTTAATAGCTGTTAATTTCTACAAAGAATTACGTGTGTTTATTAAGATCCGTCAAATTTATAATAATAAATAATTACTGCAAGTATATTGTATCTTATCGCAAGTATGTTGTATCTTATCGCAAGTATATTGTATCTTATCAGTAACAAACTATAATTTAATTACAGTTTATTATTGATACAATCTAATAAAACTATAATTTAATTACAGTAAATTTTATCCAATTAAAATTAAAGATACATTATCTGAAAGTAATTACTTTAATTAAGTTCTGTATAAGAACATATCAATTTTTATTGATTTAGTCTTTCTGCATAAATGTTTTAAAATATTTAAACAGTTTGCGGATATTATTTAAAAATTATTTTAAAAAAATAAATGATTTTTTAAACAAAAAGTGATACTTCAATTCAAAACTTTGAAAATACGTAAAAAATTATAGTACCTTAAATCGTACATCCAAGTCGGCCAAATTTGCAAGCAAGACATGGAAAACATGTGACCATCTTTGTAAAGGATAGCATAATAATCAAGACAATGTGATCCTGGAAGTGTCGCTCCATCCTTCATGTCCCATCCTCCTGGTAACGGCGGACGACCGACTGTAATATTTGTTCTGTAATATCCCCGAGGACGTTGTAACGAAGTCAGGATCAGTTCAGGCTTGATCATTTTGTCTGAAACAAATAGATTCGTGGTTGCGTGGACAAATTTTTTGGTATCTAAAGTTCAATAGCTTTACGGTGAGAAAATGTGATAAGGGATGAATGCGTTCGATTTCACGACGATTCATTCTGTAAGATTAATCGGATTGGAAACGATTCAAAACTATCGAGGGATTCATTTTGAGCGGATCAATGTTTTCAAATTGAATGCGATAGGCGGAAGAGAGACTTAGCCAACAAGTTTTAACGACGAACTCAAAGCGTTTCAACGCGCTTAAGCTGGTGATCTGTACTAAGCTATCAATGAAATACGAAAGCAAAACAAACTTACATATTTTCAACTTTGTTGATAAATTTTAATATGAAATAGGACCGATGAGAATAAATCTAATTAAGTAAGAGAAATTCTATTTTTCCGTCAAAGCGGATCTTGATGCTTAAACATTTCGATGTGAATTTATATCCATATTTAGTTTTGCAAACCGAAATTTTTTAAATCTTGAAACGCAATCATAAACGGAACTAGAGTAGTAATATCACATATTAAATTGACAAATATATATATAATTTAATAATTGATAATAACATTTTATAAGAATCAAAATGATCGAAAATAGGATTTTTCTTATTTAAGATTTTTATTTAGATTTGTTGATAAAATTTCTCACATAAAACTAGATACGAATTTTGAATAAAAGTTTATATACTCTCTAAATCTGAATCAGTGGATAATCACTGATCTCAATGCCAAGTATGCCACTGATAATTAGTGAATTAAATGTGAGATTCCTAATCTAGCTAATCTTTATTATGTGATCTAACTAATCTTGTTTTAGTTGTTAAATTCAATGAATATGGTATTGGAAGATTGAAATTAACGTACAAATATCAGTATTTTAGTCAAATAATGCTTAAATATTCTTTCTTTTTTAGTTGAACTTCACTGATTATCAGTGCCAAGTATGCCACTGGGTAATTAGTGACTATCCACTGATTCAGATTTAGAGAGTATATAATGATTACAAGCTACTGTCATATCATACATATGTCTTGTGTTTTATAATAAATTATAATGATAAACATTGTACTTTTGATATACCTAATATTTAATACAGTAGTTAATTTATAAATATTATAAAATAAAAGGTACGCGTTTTTCGATTCCATAATCACTACCTTTGGTAGCGAATACGATACATAAGAGAATCAAACAAAATTTATTACTATGTGCCGCTAACGGGTCAGCAGTGAACACCTTGATTTGAGTATCTGAGTATCTCGTATCCGCCGGACAATCGAATTCCCAATTTACTTCTAATTCAGCATCGACCACCTTGTCGCTGGCAGCGATTGGTCTCCACAAAGAGGAAACCGTGACCCATACTTTTCCGCATTGTCCTGCCAATGCTGAAAGCGAAATTAGGAAAATAGATTGAGAAATATAAGACGAGAGAAGCAAATTATATTTCAAATTTTTATAAAAAAGTTAGAAAAAATAACACTAGTTTGCCAATTTACATTTTTTACTCGTTGTCTAAACAAACTTTATGGTTTCCCCGTAGTTTTTAGGTATTGAACACACCGTTTTCCAAATTTGACTATTACGTTAATTTTGAGAAAAATATATAACTATGAGAGATGCTAAAAATAACGATTTTGAGAAATTTCGTAACGTTGTAACAGTGACAGTAAATTTTTCTATATTTTGTTAATGGCATATACAAAAAGTTGATACTTTTGTGTGTTAATGAAATTTCGAAAAAAAATTTGTTGCTAATGCTACAACGTTATAAAAATCATCAAAATGTCGTTTTTGGTCTTTGACACCATTTCAGTTAAAATTGTGACATGATAACAGGAAAACAGATTCGTTTTCAGTAAAACATATATATAATTCAGGCAAAAATAATTAAAACATTAAAAATAGCTAAATATGTCCAAAGAATTTTTTCGCAAGCTAGTATAATTTTCGCGCCTTTCAGATCACACAAGTCTGTTTTGATTTTATCGGAATGTTATCTATGATTTATGTTGAATGTATATATCGCTCAATTGTATTTAAGTACTAGAATTTAAATTATAATTTAAAAGATGATATTAATTAATGATATACATATATCTTTTTCACTAATAATGTATATATTTTTTAACATTATGATATACATATATATACACACATATACATAAATTATACGTATATACAGGGTATCCTACCGTGACCATCCCTTATATCTTTGCAGAATAAAATGGAATAAAAAATTTGTTTAGACAAAAATTGTATAACTTGATAGGGGACACAAATAATGGTATAATTGATTTAAAAAAAATCAACTTTTCACGGTCATATGATGAAGGTCATAGTTATTTTTTAAATAAAATAATATACCTTTTTTGTGTGTGCAAAACTATAGTTTCTTTAATTATTTTGTATAAAAGTATTAAGGTAGAAATATCGAAAAATCAATAATTTTCGAGATATTTTATATTTTATGTCAAAATGTGCCAGAATAAATTATAAAATATCTTGTAAACTACTGATTGATATTTTCACCTTAATAATTCTGTATGCGGAATAATTAGAGAAATCATATGCAAAAAAATATTGTTTTGTTTAAAAAATAGCAATGACCTTCACATACATATAATTACGAAAAATAGATTTTTTATAAAATCGATTATTTGTGCCTTGTCAGGTCATACAATTTTTATCTGAACATATTTTTTATTTGACCTTATCCTATAAAGATATTAGAGATGATCACATTAGATGGGACACCCTATACCTATAATATAACAAAAGAATTAGATAAGTTCTTTGTATGGATGAGAGAGAGAGAGAGAGAGAGAGAGAGAGAGAATGAAGAGTAAATTCATACATACAAATATAGAGAAATGCAAAATTATATAAATATCAACAACATCATTTATCTTTTATATTTTTTTACAGTTTTTATACTTTTTGTACAGTACTTTTGAATAAAAATTAATGTATTAATATTATATAAAAGCAAATATGTAAAAACATATTTGTTTTTTATTCACATATTTATACAATGTAACTTTTGCTTTTAATAATATTGAATTTTTCTTCAGGTTACTTAAAAAACAGCGTTTAAAAACACTTATTTTAAACGCATACTTTGCATTCCAACTAAAATAACAAACATTGTGCAAGAACCGTATAATGAAACGCGATAGTTAGTGTAGTCTCACCAATGTCACAGAAGACATGGAGAATCAGCAGAATAATTCCTTTCAGCATGATTGAAATGATGAGATTTCAACCAAAATTCTTTGTATACGGCCTCCGATCTTCCAATGTCAGCAAATATTGTGCACTCGTGTTTTAATCAAACAGTTTCTGATTTCTTCGAGCATAACGGATATGAGTCTTCAAAGAGCTCAAAGTTTTCTGAAATTCACAACTTGTTCACACAACTATGTTGCCGTTATAAATCTTTATTAAATAATGATAAATAAATTTTCTCCTTTTAAAGAGTCAAGAATATTTTCCACAGTAAAAGTTGCATGAAGGATTGTAAGAAAAACAATAAAAGATACAGAAAAAACTTTTGTAGAAAAATATATCGAATTTTATTTTTGTATTTTTGACTGAAATTCAAGCAACAATGGAATTCGCTATCACACAGATTTATCTACGTCATTGATATAACATCATTACGTTTTGAAAATTTATCCCGTTCTCTAAGTGAAAAATTGTCCTATAGAATATATATAAAACCATGGCGAATCGGATCAATATAAGTTTTGAAACAGTTAGTCGACAGTTAGTTGTACACTGCTTTCCATTTGATGACACAAATCGACACAAGTTGACACAAGCATCGTTCTATCCTTCTTGACATTCAGAGAATGACAAAAATAGAACGACACTTGTGTCGATTGTGTCTCCTAAAAGGAAAGCAGCCATCATCAATTTTATTCCAAACGAGCTGTTTTATCATGCTAGTTACTTCCGCGCGCTTCCTCTTCCTCTGCAGAAACAATAAACAACAGTTCTGTATTGTGTGATCCATTGTCAATCGACGATACAAGCGCAGAGATCATGAGCTCGAAAAAAATTTTGTCTCACGTAAAATAATCATGATCTCGAAAAAAAATCATGAATTTATTTTTGTAACGAAAAGATATATTGAAATTTATGCAAATTATAATGATTTACAGTATATAGTTTGCTAAATCAGTTTAGTGAACTGATTATTCGCTTCGTTTCTCAGCTTCGGAGCGAATTGGATAATTCCTTCTTAATTTTTTTATTAAGCAACAATAAGAAGTACTGTTTACGTATTATTTTATTGTATAAAATTCAAGCAAAGTTATAAAAATTAAAAGTTTATAAAACTTAATAACAAAATTTGTTTTTAATTACTTTTTTTTTATCAATGAACAAATATTGATCTGATTCGCCTTGGTGAATGCCTCTATGAAAGTGTAGTTTTAAAAATACATATGATCCTCCGCACTTAGTAACGATGGTTCTTTCGATTGTCTTACTTCTGTCGCGAGTAAGAGAATCTCTCGATCAGGTCAAACATTATCGTCACATCGAGAAACTTCGGAACACACAGAATGGGAATCGTATGGAAAACGAATTCAGATAGGCCACTGCTAATGGCGCAGTGATCTTCGGCTGACAACCCGACGACTGAGCGATAGGCAGTCGAACGAACTACTACTGGTAACAGGAGTAGTCTAATGTAGAACCCGCTTATGGGACGTTCAAGTACATTGCGCTTCCATCCTTCCGTCACTTCCTCGGACGCGTCAATTGGACATGAGGAGGAACCAGTACTCATTCGTTTTCCTTCTCTCTTCTCTACGTCCGCCTCTCCATCACATTGACTATCGGCTACGTGCGTACACTCGGGGTCGGACCCGGCCTGGCCTGTTAAATACCATTTCCTGCATACGCCGTCGCGGAATATATAGTTTCGAGGGAGAGCTGGCAATGGATGCGAATCCAACCGACCGATCGGTGGAGATTGGGAGAACGGATTCAGTTTCTACATTGAATTATCGCCCTCGTGCATCGTGCACAGGGGACACTGCATGTCAGGAGGGTACGCGTCGTGAGAGCAAACAGATTAATCGTTACATATAGATCGAGGCTACAGATCGCGATTTACCGATGACATTTTAGGGTATTTTATGGTAGAACTACATTTTGTTGGGATAGGACGTGATCGCGAGTACGTTAAGCCCGATCTACAATTGCGTAAACGTAATTGTAAATGGTTGTGAAATGTTGTAAAGCGAAGTTTTAACCTGCTACTCCCGGTTGTAAAGTGTTGTGAAAGATGGTTCAACTTTATCTTTCACAACTACGACTGCGTAAAACGTAAGAGTGAATCAATCAGAGTGCTGCCACGTGTCTACATTGTTATCGTCCTTTTTGTCTTGACGTATGAAAATGAGTGCGAAGTGTCTTTTTCATCTTTTATTGTGTTCATTTTATAATATATTATTTGACGAGTTTATTATATTACGAATATATTATGTTACGAGTATGAAATACGGAGAAAGTGTTGTGAGCAATGCTCAATTTGAAGATGAAAGTTCGTTGAATCTTTACTCGATGTAGATTAATATATTGTACAATATTTACTGCTACTACTACTCCCATAACCTTACGTCTACGTTTACGTAATTGTAGATCGGGCTTTACAAGTCGCATTTGTAGGCTCCACGTTATAATATATAGTGCCAAAGTTGGCAACGTTATCTCATAAAAATAACTCGTTACCGTTACCGTTCTTTTTGCTAAGTAACGCGTTTTCGTTACTCGTTATTAATTTGCAAAAGTAACTGTCACTCAAAATGTGACGAGTCGTTACTCTCTCTCTCTTTTTCGTTACTTTTTTTTCTTGACACCAATAAAATATTAATGCAGATTTTTGCGGTAAATATAAAAAAGATGTCAGAATTTTATCTTTTAGTAAAGGAATAAAACTCAAAAACTGATATATGTGTGTATATATATGTATATATACACATTCTAGTTACGACTAAAACTTTTACGTGGCTAGAAATAAAATAACGATAAAAGTAACTACGACATGTAATGAAATCGTTACCATTACCCCAAAAATGTAACTGCGTTACCATGAACGTTACTCAGAAGAAAATGTAACGTCGTTACTGAAAAAAGTAACTTGTAACGGTAACAACATTACAAGTATAACGCGTTACTTGCGAACCGTGTATAGTGCAATATACAGTCTTGACCAAAAATATTAGGCACCTATATTTTTTCATTTATCAGGAATTTTTTTATCTGCATTGTTATCTACTGGTTACGAACATTATACATAAATTTAAAGAGTTTTTAAAAGGATTTACAGTAAATGCTATAAATCAATTTTTAAGCTAAAACTTTAAATGATGCATGGTTAATAAGGTGCCTGATATTTTTGGCTGAGGCTCTGTGTGTGTGTGTATGTGTGTTTGTGTGTATACATTGAAAAAAATGCATATAATTTTACATGGAAATTACATGTATACGACTGGAAAATTATCTAAATTACATAAATATGCTTGAAAATTTATTGGAAATTGTAAATTTCCAATCATATTTAGATGATTTTCCAGTCATGAACATGTAATTTCCATGTAAAATTACATGCATTTTTTTCAGTATACATATGTAATGCAATATATATGTTTTTATACATGCTGTTTGTAGAACCTTACTCGATTAATATTTCAATAAGAAAAAGTCTTTACAAGATCTTCTTTTTAACACATTTTAAAGATGATTATATTATTATTATTGGTCTGTGCGGGACTCAAATGCGGAAATATGAATAAATAATCCATCAAGAACTCAATAGAACAGATATACAATTTATTTACAATGTCATGCTCTTTTAAAAGATAATATTACATGTTACAATATATGTGGATGTAAGTAAAAGCTTTGAACCATGAAATCTCGATTATTCTGATCGCATTCGCATAGACGGGGTCACAATTAAAAAAAAAACGAAAATAAATAAAATCTCGAATAATGTTTAACATTAGTATATCAACGATAACAATGAAAAGTAATCACATTTTTAAACATTAGTTTAAGCATTTAGTTACGATTTTATCAGTACTTTAATTGAATAATTAATAACGATTAATTTTGAGATTTTTTTTAGCGCCCTGATGTAAGACTTTGCGTATTTAACATTCTTGAAAAACGCGACGAAGTTGTGCCGTGCTCGTGAATACGGTTACAAATTAAATCATCTTTGTTGAAGAAATTTAATAAAAGTAGATATTATGTTTTCGATCTTTCAATCTTCAATGAATTTATCATCATCACCTGATTTTATCCACTCCTGGATATCAGCCTTTTCCAACCTTTTCCATTATGGTCTTTGGAAGGAAGGAATTTGGCATTAAAACGCCACGCTTGCCATGCATATTGACGAGTATACATATATCCACTGATATATGGGATCTACAGTTTAACGCCGGATCCGAACGGTGCTAATGAATCTATAATTTTGTATTTAATATTTTATTTCTATTGTAATAGATATAAATAAAGTATTTTCAGGAAAAAAATTATTAGATAAATAATTTTGGAAGAACATAACTTTGTAGTTACAATACTTTTCATTGGTATCATCAATATATCATGTGTACTACGACAAAAAATACATATCGCTGCAATCTCATCGGATACTAAATACTACATTAAATAAATAACATTATTACCTTGGCAGAGTTATATTACATGATTGAAGACATATAGGTACAATATATACTTTACGCGTATTAACTTACAGTAACACTGTTCTTATTGTGATGTTCTAAATTGACAATTATAGTATATGAAGGACATTAATACGATTTGATTCGTTGAGGTAGATAATTTAATCAGTCTATGAAGCTGCTTTGTCGGTCGGTCAATTGTTTGTTGATAAATTTCCGTTCCGACGTTACATAAAAGAATCAATCCTATTTGCCATTGGAAGATCCTTATACAGTCTTTCGTGTGTATAACTGAGTTGCACTGATTTCGATCTAAATGATATGACAATCTGAATTTGTGATTGATCTATGATATGAACACGAAATATATGTCTAAAAAAAGGATCTTTTAACAAAAGACAATCAAGAGACGACCGAAATGAAAAGAATTGTATTTGAACAGATATAAAGTTAGGGAGATTCTGCCTTTCGTCCGGTTTCTGATTTTAACAACAAACTCTGTGCCATGAACATACGAATTAATTCGTAAAACATACTTACATGATCAATTATTTTACCTATAAATTATAATAAATTAAGATAATTCGTACAATTACAATGAAATATACACTTTCTACACGCCAGAACTCTTGTTTTCCCCTGTCCATCGGCGAAAATGCCAATCGAAATTTCCATTCTCTCGGCTTTCTCGTCTTTTCAGCGAAGCGAGTCCTGCAAACGCACCACAAGAGGCATCTCTATGAAATTATGTACATCCATTTTGGTTAAACGCGTTATATTTGATTAATAACGCGTAACGCGTCTCTATTTAAGCATTTCGTACGTTAAATTACTGCTGTCGAACGAAAAGAAAATTATACATTTTGTGTTATGTGAGCGAAGCTAATAATTTATCGACTTAATCGATTGGCAGTCAATGATATACAGAGATACATATACAACTCAAAGGTATATGCAAAGTTTTTATCAAATTAAAAAAAATATATTTCTTTTAAGCTTGATTTGGTATGTTATCTTGTATATACATATCTTTACACATAATTATAATTATATATTATTTAATATTAATATATAGTAATATAATAATGCATATTATTATGCTTTTATTATATTAATATTATTATACATATATGCATCATATTGTATATAACATTATATAATTATATAATTATATAATTATGCATTTTATATGTATATATATAATTATTCAAATTTACATTATTAGTATAATTATTTGTACTACGGGAACATTTAAAATTTATTTTATTAAAGAAGTATAGATATCTATACTTTTAATATTTTAATAGATTTTTTCATTATACTTTAATTTCTACCAGCAATATATCTTCTCTAATTTAAGTACTGTAACATTGGTATCAGTGACAGCTGATACGAACCGTTCCATATTACTTGAAACATATTTAAAATTGTACGTAAATATTGAGCTCTGACTCTAGACGTGCCAATAGAAAGATTGGTAAAGCAAGCAGAAAAAGTCTGCATTATCGTTACGACAGATTGTCTTGCTAGTTCGCGCGTTGTGTCAGAAGATTCAGCAATTCATTGTGATCCATACTATTCAGTGTATGTATATCGATGCCGAGGGCATTCGCGACACTTTTCATGTCTAGACCAAAGCTCTTGAGCAGTTCGATAAAGTCCATTTCCTCGCCCGTAAAGGGATTATGCAGCTTGGGACAGCTATGGTTACATTGCGGCCAAGTGCAGCGTTCGATCATACGGAAATGACAGTTCTTAACGCACTTCCGTTTAAATGACGGTATTACCGATCGTTGCGGCCTGATGCCGTTGAATATAGCCGTATGATTATTGCCGTTTACTTGTTTACCGCCTTTGCGACGACCTGCGAAAAGATATTTATATATATAGTGAATTTCGAAAAATCATTGTGCAAACCGCATAAAAAAATTATTTTTAAAAATTAATAATAAATATTAAATTTAATATCATCGTGAAATTATACGCAGTATAACCAAGTAAGTTTTCGACCAATCTATAAAATTGTATGAAATAACTCGGAACTATTCAAAGAATGTCGATTGTTATTGAGCAAGGTTCAAAACATGTTTGT